GTGCTTATTTTTCAGAATAAAATGTTGGTGAGTGTTTCTGTAGCTCTTATTTTAGATTTCCACACAAGATTCTCACTATTTCCAATGGCAGGACTTCCACAGTCTCTAAACCATTGATGGAAAAATCTAAGGAACTGTTTTTTAAAGGAAAAAATAGATTTTAATGGAATAAAGGCATAGTTTCTAGGTTCTCTCCTTGGATAGAAAAGCATTGGGAATAATATTGTCACAAATCTATTACTGTCCAATACTTTAGTTACTAGACAGAAGAGAATTTGAACTTTGTCTTCACCATGGGGACATTCTACCAAATCAACAGTGGTCATCTAATCAGATATCTGCTACATGAAAGAGCCTACTTTTAATGGCTGAAGCTTGAGTGGTGTGGAAAACCTCAGAGGGCAAGAATAGAAGAGATAGATTGAAGGAAGGAAAGTTCCTTGATCTCATAAACCATTGACTTCTACCCTGACCTGCCAACATGTTCACATGGTGAGTGGCTATGGAGGTAACAACTTCCTGGCCTAGAAGAAATATCAAATCACATTGAAATGAATTTTAAGTTTGCTTCTTGTAGAAAACTTCCATGTGCAATAAAAGTTTTCCCTTAAGTTTGGAACATCAATCAAATAAAATACACACACACACGGGGGTGGGGGGAAACACTCCTGAGAAGTAAGTCTTGCTCACGCTTATTGTTTACTCAATTAATATTATTTTATCCTTGGGTCTCTGAGGGAGTTAAAGACTAGATAGTTATAGTTTTCGTTGTTTACTAGACTCAGAAAGGAAATTCACTAAAGATATGTAAAGAGTAAATGGTTTGAAAGGCATTAAAAGATATTTTGATAATGCAAATTACACTCAGAATTAAGAGGCAGTTGGATCTCTTTGACTTCAAGGCCACCAGGGATACACGAGATTCAATCAATCTAAAAGAATAGCATCACACTCTTTTAATCCTAGCAGTAGAGCGGTATAAGAGATAGAAGCAGGATCTTCAGCATTTAGGAGGAGGTAGTTGTTCTCCAACCACACTGAAGATGGGGTATTCATATCCAGCCATGCTGAGAAAAGGCAGCAGGATCGGCCCATTCAGCCTGGGGTAGTGGTAAGAGCTAGTGGCCTGCTACTTTGCTTCCCTGATCTTCAGCTTGAACCTCAATATTTGTCACTGGGTCATTTATCTTTTTCATGCTACAGGCTGCAAATTCTTTAAATATGATAAATGAAGGGACTAATAAATTGAAGTAGAAGCCAGCAGTATGTGCGTTTCTTCTAAAATTCAGTAAGCCTCATGCCACTTAATAGTCCCTCCCTCTTGTTACTCTCCTTATTCATCTGGTTGCAGTATTAAGCCATGTCCTTGGTATGAAAATAACACATCACACTTGAATGGTTTAATTACTTTTATTTTGGGACTAAGAACCTCTATAGGATCTTTCACCTTGCCTCACATATTTTGTGCATAACACGTTTAAAAATATCTGAAAAAACAATGACAGAATGAAAACGATATCCCTTATTTAGAAAGAATTTACACACTAAAAGGAGATTTAATTGATCTCTATATTGGAAATTTTCTTCAAGGCTGTTTAATGCATTCCAGATAAGTATGGGGGAGTTCTGAAGTATTCTTTCTTATTTGAATGTCAAAATCTAACTCGTTTGGGTTTGTTTTCATTCAAAACATTGCACCAGCAAAAGACCATTGCCTGATATATTTACCAGGTTTGACCCAAAGAAAAGTGACTGATTCTACCAGTTAGAAGAATCAAATGATACTGTAGTAAAGCAAAATTGACTTTTAATGTTTGTTACCAGTTCATTGTATCTTACAGAAAACAGTCCTATTGTAATACAGGTTGGTTGTCCTCAAACTTGCACTTAGTAGCTATTAAATGCATTTAAATATTAGCTTTTCTTCCAGTTGTGTGGCTTTATGACTTCTATACTATTCATAGCCTTTTCTGTACAGTGTTGTTCTGGCAGTCAAAAGCTATGACACAATTAATTTGTCAAAAACGTTGTCAGGCGCCAATTGATTTTTCTCCAAGTATTCTGTGCAAAACCAATGTGAAACAAACAAATAAAAGAAAAAACCCTAAAAATAAAAACAAAACCACAAAACTAAACCAAACCTGATGATTGATTCCCTTCTAATCTTTCCTTCTTAGGGGGATCATCTACTCCATAGCACAAGCTTGTTTTTAGGAGTACTGAAATCAAGAAACCCAGTATGGCTGCCAGCAACCAAGTTGGAATCTTCTTTGAGTCTATTAATTGCCAAAAGAACAATTGACCATCTTACTGCACAACATAACACTACTAGGTGCCGGCCCTCTTTATATGAAAAAAAAAATTTAAATTTACAAATACTATATTTGTCTAAAAGTTGCTGTGATAAAATATGGCAGCAGTCATTAAAAGATGGCTTCCAGTGTTAATATGAAGACTTATCTTCATCCGTATATTGTATTTTTATATGACTTGGTTCTTTTTAGCTTAGGGTTTTCAAATGAAAGAGGGAGTCTCAGGGAATGTGTAGATATAATTTGTTCTTTATATAGGCCATAAAACAAAATAATGAAAACATTTTGTAATATATCTGTCATTTCCTTCTTTTGATACTCTGGGAATCTTAAAATCTACAAAGTGATGTCTGAATTAGTGTTATGTCAACTTTCTGTTAGGAATTGTGCTAAGAGAACTTTTCTCCTGAAGACACTCATAATGAGATATGAAGTATGAAAATAGATATCTGGTGGAATAAAACAGAGACACAAAAGACCCCTTTTCAATTAGGAGTTCAAAGGGCACCAGCGTTCTGGTCCTTTGTGTGAAGTCAGAAGTTAAAAACTCTGCCCAGCAGTGTTCATTCTAGGATGCTTTTTTCAAGAATGGACAAATAGTATGCAATTGGTACAGATGTAAGTCAGCTAACAGTCACTTTGGAGATTTTGATCAGCACCGTTTCCTATACTAAGTATTCAAAAGTTAAGAAATGCTACTGTGTTTAAATGTGGAGTTCTATGATCATAACTGAAAGAAATGCACCTACTTCAATACAAAATTTTCCTACTTCCATTTCAGGCAAAATTCTTAAAATATAGGTAATGATTATTCAAGTACGGTCGTCCTCCAAAGAGCTTATCCCTGCCCATAAGGTGTTCAGAATTTCCTCCTTAAATAATATTACATTCTAGACCATTTGTTACCTTTAACTTGTAGCTTAGAAGTCTGAGTTCAGTTAGGAGTGTTTTCATGAAGCCTCATCATCTCTTGGAATTTATAGTGTTATGTAATTTGTATATCCTAACTTAAAACTACATCCTCATGCTCTAAGACTAAAGCATCTGAAAGAAAGGCTCTAGATTGGCTTACAATGTGTTATCTAGATAACATGTCATGAGAGTTATGGTTCCATGGACTTCCAGCTGCTCTATGCCTTCCATACATGTAACTCTATATTTATAGAGCAAATTTATTTCAGTTATCACAGAGCTTTAGTGCAACCATGCTCAATTCAGGAAACAGATTTATTTACTCACATTCATTTGGGGGAATCTACATTAGAAACATTGACAACAGCACACCAGCTATGTTGTACTTGGATTATTATACTAAGGCTCACTCACCAGAGTTCACTGTGAAACAATGGAAACCAGAAAATTACTTAAATACAAATATTGGTCCCTGTGGGGTCTCAGCAGTCAGTAAAATAAAGTTTTATTTAAGATTGGAGTTGCTAAAACTGAAAGACATTTTTCAGAACCTGGACTTAAGTTTTCATTTAAAGCTTGATGGTGTAGTCTTCGGTGTGAGTGCCACTGTTTTATTTTTTTGCCAAATGGTAACCAGAAAGGAAACTGATAGTCACTGTAGTTTCTATTTGAGAGCCTCTCTAGAATTGCATTTATTTTTTACTTTTTCCTCCTAAACATAGGTCCTATTTAGGGCCTCTATTGTGTGTACAAACAGGAGCAACGATTTTTTGAAATTGAGTCTTGGTTTCTGAGTTAAGCGAGTGTAGAGTTATTGATTCATTTGGATGTTTTTCCTTATATAATGTAAATAAGAAAGGAATATTAAGTAGGTTAAAGTTATTTTTATAGGACAATAGTGTTTTATATGCTAAATCAAGCTGATACATATTATATATTTTCTGTCCAGCAGTTTATTTTTTCAACTGCCCTGAGTAAATTCTAAATACTGCTTAGCAAAGATCCCTTAGAATTTAGATATAACTCAGTGAAGCTACTCAAAAATGATAAAACAATTCTTTCTGATAGATAATTTTAATTAGAAGGTAGCAATCTCTCATTGATAAAATATTATCTGTGGATATAGGTAATTTTAATTAGAAGGTAGCAATCTCTCATTGGTAAAATATTATCTGCAAATACAAGTCTATATTTCATATAAATGGGTTGACCTAGGAGTACTAATTTTATTATTATGTGTCTGAGTCTATATGCTTTTCACTTTGGTCAAAAAGATAAAATTTTAAATGGTAAACTATTTTGTATACTGAAGACTTGAAGTATTAACTTTTAGAAAAAAATGTTCATTGTTCCCTTGTGAAACTGAGTTTTTTGCACCTCCCGGAATCCCAGTTTCTGTAAAGAAGCCCGTATTTAAAATTTGTGGTTCTAATTTGTTTAATGAAGTACATTTCAAAGTTATAGAAATTGTAAAATTTGTGCTTGTGGAAGTTGCTGCTTATTTTCCATAACACAACCGTGGTTATCCTCAGACTATTGCATGCCCTGTTCATGAAATGGCATTTTGTTGGGGTGGTGTAGCATAAGACAGGCTCTGAAGCCCATTTTTTAGCTTCCCTTATACTTATATTAATTTATAATATACATTGACTGATAGCTTTACAAAACAAATGAATGAATTGACCTTTATGAAAACGACTCTTTACAGTAAGTGAAAAAGGGTTATCACAGTTTTGGTAACTTGCATGAGTTCGTATTAAAAACAAGAACAGAAACAAAAAAAAACCTTTCTCATGTCCCCTGTAACTGGAGAACTGATTCTTTCTAGGGCACATTCAGTTGTATGCTCTGAAGCAATACACACCATACAGCTTATGCTTTTTATCCGGGAAGCCCACAAAGCGCACAGCAGCCTCGGTAGGGCTGCAGCGCCTTCTTGGCCGAGAAATAGGGTAGCGGACACTGCCATCCGCCAGCCAGCCGGCATCACAACGGTCATAGCCCAGAAGCTTCCAGGCAGCAAATATCTGGCCAACTTTTGCAATCTGAGCACCGTCATTGAGACAAGCTTGCACTGCCTCGTCATAGGTGAGCTTTGTGGGGTGGATCAGGTAATAAAATCGGCCTGTGGAGAGAAGGAGACAGAGTCAGCCAGCCTGTGACAGATGGAAAAGAGCCCAAAGCTAAAGTGCCTCTCAGTGAATGGGGATGTAGAGCAACACCTGAAACTTGGAGGACATAGAATCGCCATCTAAATGCCATATTAATAGGTCACTTTAGATTAAATAAATTTGCTGTTCCCTGCTTCTTGGTGTGTGCTCACACATGCCCTTGTATATCTTTAAAGGGAAAAGCACGATGGCAGCAGATGCAGCTCTGTTAGCTAATTAGAGGCTAAAAGAGCCTTCTGTGGTTCTAGGGAAGACAGAATTCCACGCTGAAAGAAGAGCTATTTAAATTCTACTTGTAGCAAGACTGAACCCCAGTACAAGTTTCTAGAGAGGCAAAATTTGAATGTGAAAGGATCAAAAAACATGCCTTACATAAAAGTCCATTTAAGAAAACCAAAAGCCCTCGAGTTCTTTTCATTACAGGTATCAATAAGACCTTATTCTCAACCAAAGCCTACAGCATAAAAATTTCTCAAACACAGGAAGTCATTGGCCATCAATGATACACTCACTGAATGTAAACCCGGTCTGCACTCTCTTACTTACTGGCAGAGGGGTTTGTTGATGTTTTAAAACTTCCACCATTTGAAGCCTGACATCATTCTGTTTCTTCATTTCACATGGACACTGTTACTCTCAACCACTTACTACAGCGTTAGTTACTGAGATCCCATTAGCATGATGAAATAAATAACATGTACAAAATGTACCATCAATGAGCTGAAGTGGCATACACTGCATATATTAATATATTTAGTAACTATTTAAGTTGTTAAAATTAAATTAATTTAATATATTATTAAAATTCTTAATCAATTTGGAACAAAGGCTTCTACATTTTGTGATAGGACCCCAAGATTATGTTCGGGGCAGCACACCAAAGGGTCTGGGAGTGGGAATGCAATGAGTCAGCCACGATGTTGTGCAACCCTTTCCTTACTTTTGTCTCCCAATGCTAATTGTGCTTTACTTGTCTCACTTTGTGCTCCTTTGGTCTGAACTTTGCTGATCACAATGTGACTGACCGGGCAAGAGAGAGCATGTATGGCAGGGAAGCTCCTTCCATCGGCAGAGGGAGCAATGGTTAAGGAATAGGGCACTATGGCAATGTGAAACATGTACCGTGGGACAATGTCAACTACTTCGTTAAAAATAGGATGGTTAAAATGTAGGCTGACTAGAGGTAGGGCGTTTTTGTTTGATTTATATAGATACTTAGTAAATTAGAACATTCAAGATTTAAAAACATTTTATCTTTTTTTAAAAAAAATATAGTAATAACTTAAATGGTTGGGTTTTATTACTGTTGATTTGTTTTGCTTTTTGACGATAACACCAAAATCCAAACAGTGTTTTAAGACAACTTGTTCTCTGGAATAGAAAAGAAGACAATGCAGCTACCGTCTTACCATTGAAGTTGGATGTAAAACAGAAAACATCGTATCTGCTTTTATCTTTGTCCCAAAACCCGTAGTTCCTGACACCAGGCACTGTGTTTTGGCCCCCACAGGGCTCGCGTGGTTTGGTGATAGGGTACTGCACAGATCCGTCACTGAGCCAGCCAGCATTGCACCAGTCCAGTCCACCCCGCCAGGCATCATACAGCTGATCGAAAGACGCAATCACAGCATCCTGGTCCAGACAAGCCTGCTGTGCCTCATGAAAGTTAAGATTGTAGCGTCCCAGCCGTGGAAAGTAAGGGAACACCACACCTGTCCAAAGATGAGGAGGAGATGGTCATTAGTGATAGAATACTGAGCACGCCTATGTACACATGGGTATGGAGAAAAAGTGGGATTTCCAGATGCACTAGGTTCCGGTCAGCTTTCAGTGGTCTCTCATAGCCCCTTTCCATGGCACATACTTTGTGGCAAGCATCACACAACTTGCTGTTTGTTACTTGGACTGACAACTTCAGTGATTTGCCTCCAGTGCCAAGGGCAACTTATGCTAAAAAAAAAAATTCTCCTTTCAGAAAGAGATGCAGCCGTGGGTTATAGTGTTTAAACCGTGTGTTGAGAACATGTCTCCAGCTACTGGTTATCATCTTCAGGATAGATACTGCTGAACTTTTCTGGGAAGGGAAGAGTCGGTGCTAATAGTAAGGGCAGTGGGGAATGTAGTGCACATGGTAATTTTAAAAAATTCACCATGGTTTTCATGGTCATTACTGTTATGGAGTTAGCAAAGTAGTTAGTTTTACATTGTCTTTGACACATATAAAGGCATATGTTGAATGCTTCAAATATGCATGTACATCTACTTTCACACATGCTCCTGAAACCATGCAAGTACGTGACTATCCCCTTGGGATTATTCCTTAGAGAAACTTGAATGTGCATGTCTAACAAAAGTCTCACCAGCCTTGTTTCACACTAATATGGTTATTCTGTGCTTAGGAGGCACACCCTATGCAAGGCTTTATAACTATTTGTTTCAACTTCTAACGTATTCCTTAACTGTTGATTCTGCCCTTGACACAGCTAGAACAAGCTAAAACATTTATTTAAAGGTCAGGTAAACAAAGTCTATTGAGAAATAAAGGCACATCTCCCTGCACCAGAGAGAGGTACTGTGTGGAAGGGACCTGAAAATGGGTTTCAGTTTTAGCTACTCTATTTATGCCATATTACAAACTAAAACTGAGGTTTTGAAAATGCCTTCAATATAAATGAACCTAAAAAGTTGCTTCCTTAAACTTGTGCTATGCAAAATGAATACAGAGCAAACAGGGTTAGTTGTGAAGAGTCAAGTATTTTAGAGGACAATCCATAGTAAAAGCAAAGAGCATGGACTGGTATTTGATTGTGTCTCAAAAGCATTTCTTTTGGTCAATAATTACTGGGGGAGATTGAGCTGTCTCGTGTCCCACAAGTTTTTTTGTTGTTTATTTGTTTGTTTTTAGGATGGGTTCCCAAGTTAAGAACTCAGAATTGTATCATTTACTGCATATTAAGGAAGACACCAAAGAATCTACCCCATAGTTAATAAAAGATAATCCAGAGCAAGCATTCTTAGAAATATTATTACAGCTAAGTAGCACATGGAATGCAGCCATCTTGTCTGAATGTCCCAGTAATAGTATGGGCCTTAAGTTATGTGCTACAAAACAGCAGATCCTACTCAAGATGATGTACAGTTCTCTAACAACCAATCATGGCCAGTGTTCTTTTCTAAATGATTCTGGATGTTTCTACAAAAGGACTTTGAGGCTTTAAATCAAGTCTCACCCCTGTCCCTCTAGACCAGTCCAGTTGGCACAGGTCTCTGTAGGCAAGGATCCAAGAAAGCCTTCTGATCTCATTCTGCTTTCTCAGGTTCTTGGCTGAGGGATCTATCAGCTGGATCAGAGCCAACAGAAGAAGGAAAATGTCTTACTCCTGCTGCAGTAAGGGGGAGAAGGGCCTGGAGATGGTTCTAAGAACACCCTCTGCCCATGCACAACTGGGACCACAGTGTGCCCCCAGAACAGAAGTGCTACAGTGCTTTATTTTTTCCAAGATATTTGTCCTCTTTTCTTCACAATTCTAGGTGTGTCCCCAAAAAGGAAAATAATCTATTGTGCAATGATTCTCTTGATAGCTAGAACTCAAGTGGCAGAAACCCTCCCCCACATACTTATCTGAAGATATAAACTATTTGTGTCACATTTTCTTTTCCAATTAGTTCATGGTGGAAACTGGGAAATATAGGATGCTTTAATTTGTAATAGCTTTAAAGATCCAGAAAAAAATCTTTGAGATTTAAATTGACCATCATGTGTCATGTGTCACAGTGCCTCTCATGGGCAGTAGAAAAGTTTTTAATAGTCTCTGATTATCTCAAATATGATCGATTTAGTTCCAAATCCAGTCTACTATATTTATACTTAAGTTTCTTTCTAATTTAACATAATGTCATACAATCCTTTTATAAAGTCACAAACTTTTTGTTTACATTTTGTTATTTTCTCTAAAAATTTAATTATTAACTTTGTTATAAAAAAGTTGAAAGCAAAAAGCATCCCATACTAGGATGAACTAGACACATAACATATATATATACATACATATATATATATATGTATATATATATATCACTGAACTTCTTTATAGTTAGAATATATGTTCTGAAGCCATGCAGCTCCATGTTGGATTTTACCAGGGAGATTAAAATGATGAAGCTCTACATGCCTGATGGAATCTTGAGGTATTTGGGAGGGTCAGTAGTCAGTGTTTGTCATTTTCAAAAGTCAAAAATTTGTTCTAGGATGGGATAAATGCTCCTAGCAAACATATCTGTACTTTTGTGAAAGAAGCCATCCTACCAATTCAGTGCAGAACACTGGTGAAACTCATGTAAACAAGACATTTTGAACTATATAAAAAACTCAACACCAAAATTTTCTTAGAATGATGAATAAGAGGCCAGATGAGGGACTGGAGAGATGGCTCAGTGGTAAGAACACTGGCTACTCTTCCAGAGCTCCTGAGTTCAATTCCAAGCAACCTCATGGTGGCTCACAACCATCTGTAATGAGGTCTGGTGTCTTCTTCTGGCCTGCAGGGATACATGCAAGTAGAACACAGTATACATAATTGATAAATCTTTTAGAAAGGCGTGTTGGTGGCAAATGCCTTTAATCCCAGCGGTCAGGAGGCAGAGGCAAGTAGATCTCTGTGAGTTCGAGGCCAGCCTGGTCTACAGAGTTAGTTCCAGAACAGGCTCCAAAGCCACAGAGAAACCCTGTCTCAGAACCTCCCCCCCCCCAATAAAATATTTAAAAAAAGGAACCAAGATGAAGGCAAAGACACATTTGCCTGTATAGCTTGTCTGCATGTTGACTGTTGAACCTATTGAATGTAATATGTTCAAAAAATAGAAATACTCCAAAATGCCTCCATTGTTTGGTATTTGATGCCTAAAAGGCTCCAGGCTGTTAAAATAATTACTTTCTTGCAAGAATATTTAAGTAAACCGAGAGGTTACTTTTTCCATTAAATTAACTTCTGCAGACATTTTACAGAATGCGATTACATGTATTGTACTTCAGATGTCCTTTACAAATCTTACCATTAGTTTGTAACAGAGATAATTTTAGAAGCATAATAGAAGAACCTAATTTGAATTTCTCAATAAGCACAAAATGGGATTTGAATAGCATAAGACCATTTCCAAAAATTATTAATTCACTTTCAGTGCACATTTCTCCTTGTAAATAGCTTCAGTTTTCCACAGAAGTATTGTGCATACATCTCGAATATGAAAGCTGAAATCATATGCAGACTGCAAATCATAAAAGAATAAAAATTTGCTAGACGTGTGGGTCCTCACATTACTGCTGTGATAATCATTCCTAATTATTCCTTCAAAGTTTAACGACCTTTATGAATACCTACCTTGCAACTCTAACGCTACCACAGCAGTATCGTCTTCTAGTCCCTCAATCACCTCACACTTGTATCTTCCATAATCCTCCAGGGTGAGATCTGTGATTACCAGGGAGGCGTCATTGTCATTGCCTCCCCTCAGAAACACTCGACCCTGATATCCGCCATAGGTCTTCTTGTGGTATCCCATGGACACGAAGACATCCACCTCCCTGAGGTAATCCGAAGTTAGCTTGGTCCACTTGATGCGGATTTTGTGGATTCCTGAGCCAAATGCTGTAGGGTCTCGATAAAACTTGCATGGCAGTGTCACATTGCCACCTCTATGTGAGAAGACTTTGGCTTGTTCTGCTTCCACGAGGAGACGGGGGCCATTTTCCGCTGTAACAACAAAAGAAGCATTGATGGAGTAGCAGAAAATAATTTCATGTGCTTTCAGACTTTTCATATATTAAAATGAATACCATTCTTTATGTCATTGCTTTGAAGCATATATTAAGATATGGCTATTAGTCAGGAGGTGTCTGTAAGCCACTATAAAACTGGGAATGACATGCACAGCAATCATTATAAATTATGAGATGCAAACATTATTAATGATTTTGTAGTAAATTATAAACAATGTTTTGATTCCATTTTTCTTTATTTTAATACCAGAAAAGTAGATGCAAAGTTAAGAGAAGTCACACAGTTCTCTGACCATCAGTATGAACCCCAAATCTTTCAAGGCTAAATAAGTTCCTCTAGGTTTTCTAATGCAGTAAGTTTGAAATACACTGACAGAAAGCCTTTAAGAAACACACTTCACTTGCTTCTTATCATTATGACCACATAAAATACTTTTGCTTTTATGTTTTCCATTTATATGCACATTTGTACCATGCTATTCTAGAGCACTTCAAGTGGCATTCATATGTCCCACTCCAACTGAGACTGGACATCAGAAGGATAGCCTTAATGCTGGTGACACACTCCTGTAAGTTTTGAGACATGTTCTCCAAAATTGAAAATTTGCAAGTCTGCTGAAATTTATACTTACCTTCTAACACAAAGTAACCATTTCAGTCTATGTTCCCTTTAGTTCCCCCTTGCTCTCTTCTCTCTCTCTCTCTCTGTCTGTCTGTCTCTCTCTCTCTGTCATCTTGTTTTACACTTATCACTTCCTCCTTTATTGTTCTTCCCCTTTGTTCTCCTTTGGTTTCCTGCCTTCACCCTCCAAGGACTTTATGGCTTTCCAAAGAGCACCATAATAATATAAATTGCCAAGTCAGCAGGGCTTTCATTTTTAGAAAGCCAGCTGTTATTTTCAGATCTTGGCTTTCCCTGGGGTTCCCTGGTTAGCATTTTATGCTTTTGACCTTGACACATTCTATTGAGGATTCTTGAGATATGAAAAAGAAAAGGTGTAAGAACTCTAAGACAAACATACCTCTTGTCCAGACACCCATTTCCCAAATATAAAAGCTTCCTTTTATATAGCTTGGAAGTTCTTATGGCCTTAGGACAATTGCTACTGAAAAAACCTTGGCCATGAATTTTATGATGTACAAATCACTAGTTAGAGTAACCACACTCAAAATTCATTTATTGACACATATAATAGACTCTGATTCAACATAAAAATATCTGAAATCAGGTAGTCTGATGTTATTGCGACCAGAATTGTTATTCAAAATGTAGCATATCATTGCATTTATGATATGAGCTCCAAATCTCAAAACTGAAAGTGTGACAAAGTCACCAATGCTCTCACTGTCAATAGCTACTGCAAGTAGACAATAATGCATTTATAGAGCAGTTAGTTAAAATGAATCACAAACACAGTTCATTAAATGTTTTCATATATAGAGAAAAAGAGAAATCCCTTTCTACTCTATCCCACGTGTAGATAGATATACATATACCTATACCTCTACATATACACACATGGCACCCACTATTCTAGACCTGTATCTAAATTCTATCAAACATCTCTAGCCATCTCTGTCAGGGAAGGAAAAGATGCTGTTGACTAAGTATGCTCACCAATGACCATAGGGGCCACTAGTGCTTAGTGTTTAAGGGGCTTTATGCCACTCTGGACTTGGAGTATAAATAGAAACACTGTGCACCTCTACAGGAGGCATCGGATTTATGATTTTTCCAGGTTGTTCAATTTAAAGTTAAAGCCAGTACCCAACATGCAAAGATAAAGGGCACAGCAGCACATAAGAATGGGCTTTTCATGTGATAGAGAGACTAGTCTAATGTAATGTAATGTATAATTTTTCATTTGGGCTAGCTGTGCATTCCTTAAACTCCTTACCTTGCACAAGAATTAGAAATAGTAAAGGCATCATACAGTGAACCATGCACACAAGAAGCACTTAGAACACTATCAGACTATAGCACATGGCATTAACTGCTAGGTTTCTGTTGCACAACTTTCACTCAGTATGTCTCAGATTACTAGAATCCTGCTTAGTGCTAAGCAAACTTTTCACATATAGATATTTGATATCAAGTACTTGGAATGGTTTATGAGCCAACCAGGTAAAAAATATAAATAATACATGAAATTCAACCTTTTCATTAAGGGGCCTTGGGATTTTGTGTGATTAGTACAATTGTAATATGTTTCAGGATAAATCCAAGATCTTGTTTCATAACTTACATAGCAAAGGACAAAACCCTTGTACAAAGAACTACAAGTTCTATGTTTTCTGTTGCTCTTAATGACTTTCCTGAAATTTGAATAGCTCTAGAAAGGATGTCTAGCACATTTAGTAATGTGTGGCCATCAGTGTTCACTAACCCAAGCCCACTTGTGGTCCTGACAATGGCTTTGGTTTGCATTTCAACCAGATTTGCAGATTATAAATCACTGAGCATGCCTGGAGAGAGAAGGGTCTGTTACCAAACAAGAAGATGCAGAAGAATGAAACCAGGCTAGCAAGTGAGAAGCTTTCAAAGTTCTGTCAAAGTCCTACTATAGCTCCTCCATTCCACCATGTCTATGTCAGGAGAACACCTAGCTTAATGTTGTAGCAGGCTCTGTGTTGTCACAGGCTTTCATTGTATGGACCAGCCAGGAAAGACAGTAAGCAAGGAAATGAAAAAGTAATGACAACATCATCAAAAAGGGACCAAGAGAACTGAAGGTAGAATGCACAGTGCTGCCTACAGAAAAAAAAAAAATCAAAAAACAAACAACAACAACAGCAAACTTGGATCTGATCACCCAGACAGGGTTTCTTTATGTAGACTTGGATTTCCTGGAATTCACTCTTTAGAACAGGCTGGCCTTGAATTCAGAAATCGACCTGCCTCTGCCTCCCAAATGCTGACATTAAAAGTGTGAGCCACCACCGCTTGGCATTAATCATGGGATTCTTAAATTGTAGCTTAGTCTGATTTGTTCACACATCAATCAAAACTCCTTGAGTGACAGGACAGAGAGTCTCACAGCAGTACAGAAGAAGAATATAAGACTAAACTCTGATCTTCAGAATCAGGACTTCTTTTTTCTTCTTAACAAAATGAAAGAACAAAGAACAAATAAAATAAAGAGAGCTGCATATGTTTGGTTTTTTGTTCTTATCTTTACTGTAGAGTCACACAGCCTCTTAGGTGTACTGAAGATCTTGTCCTTAAATGAGGTTGTTTACTCAAAATGTACAGGTAATTTGGGAAATTAAAGATGCTCAGTGGGTGGTATGGATTTTTTCAAGAGCATTTTTTAAGTATGAAATTACTTGTTTCTATCAGAAATGGTGAGTGACAGTGACTTGAGAAACTTGATGCCCTTCCAAGCACAGAGTTTATTCCAGGGAAAACAGCAGGGCATGGCGAGAGCACCAGCTGGGGTGCACTGGACCACTGGGTCCCTGTTATTATTTTACAGGCTGCTATGAAATTTAGAGAATAAACTCAGCTGCACAAAATGAAAACAGCATGACCTTTGTATTCACCATGTACTTTAGATCAAGTCTCTTAACAATAGGTGGAGAGTGATTATAGAAAAAAATATTAGAAACACAGCTTTGAAACTGTTGTCCTTAGTTCTATTAGAAGTGAAATTGTTTTGAAGTTCATGTTCAGAGAAACCCAGGTAACAAAAAGGTAAAAGCCACTAGGAGTCAAAGTTTATCCCTTTGAGATTGTCACACAAGACAACAAATCTTGTCAGTTTACATTCTCCCATGGTGTATGGGAGCTAGCAGATTCCAGAATTTTAGATTTATTAGACCATTTTTTTTAAGTGGCCTCTTGTTTATGATAGTCAAATAGGAACTAAAAATACACCTTTACAAGGAACACAACAAAAGCTTGTTAACATATAAGGTATATATGACTCCAAATACACACACAAATATACATGTACATTTACACATATGCATACTTACACATTTTTAAGTCACATTCAAGTATCCAATGAGGTGCCATTTCCTATTTCCAATGCCCTGTGCAGCCATCACTACTATCTCTTTTGAAAACTTTTTCATCACATAAACTAGAAAACTGATTTCTCTTGTATCCTAAACATAGGTAATGAGGCATCTGAAGCCCTATGATGAGTCATTTGAAAGACCTTGACCAAAGTTTTAAAATTCTTTCTGGAAGGGTAGAAAATATGTGTGTGTGTGTGTGTGTGTGTGTGTGTGTGTGTGTGTGTGTGTGTGTTGTGAGGGTGGTTGTTTGCCTGTTGGTGTGCATACTTCTATCTTTTGAAAACTTTGAACTTTGTGTATGCATACTGTATATGCAATGTTTAATAATGGCATAAAATAAATTTAAAATTGAGGAATTTCTTAATGAGCAATGAGCCTGAAAACAAACAAGCAAATAAACACATTGGGACCTTGGGAAAAACATATAATAAGTCATCATCAGGTGTGCTTATGGTATGATGTTACAAATAAAATATTACTTTTTTTTTTTTTACAGAAAGCGTATTGCTCTCTTAGCAAAACTGATATCTCTAAACAAGGTTTTAAAGATGCTTCATTTCATGTTCCTTACCCCTTAAAGGCAGTATTGCCAAGGATTCTCGTGGTGTCTAGTTTTGAATTATAAATGAAAGCCCCAATGCTGGAAACCAGGTAATAACAATCATCCTTTTTGTTGGTGATTGCTGCTATTTCTCTGCCTTCAGCAAACACTGCCTTCAAAGTAAACAAGCCTTGCATCTATTTTGCCTCTTCCTTACACTCTGGACCTTCTCTAATAACCACAGAGTCTCCGTGCTCAATTCTTTCTTGTGAATCTACCAAATTACACAGAACTGTATTTGTACAGTCTTCTCAGGCAGCAGATATTTTTTCTTTGAGACTGCATTGTTTGGTTCAGTGTGCTATGAACCTGGATCTAAGCACATAGTCTTCCTCCCCTACCTACTGGCT